AGCAATCATTTGAATCAAGGGGATAGCATTGGGTGAAACAAAGCAGCCCACGACCTCTTGTCTGCAGATTGGTGAGCGCCCGCAGTGCAGGGTAGGCACTCGCGAGGTGTCAGGGAGGCTAGGCTGTAGCACTTGGCGGGGGCCTACAGTTCATGGCTGGGCCCCGCAAAAATGGAAAGTTTCTGGACCAATCAGCGGGCGCCCGCAATACTCCTGAGCACCACATTTGCTTCTTGAATTGAACTTGGCTCGGCCCGATGACACGATCATCCTCCTTAGCGCTTTTTGCAGGGATAATCATGAGTTCAATGGATCACTGGCTTGGCCAAAATGAAGGTCCCCGGTAACGGCATGCTTTGACTCTTCAAGAACTCGTCAAAGCCTCACTTTTAACTATCTTTAGGGAACCAACCTAAAAGAAAACAAAAACATGCAAATAAAGCTAATATATACAATACGATCAACTAATGGACTTAACTAATGTAAATAAGGGCGCTTGAATATGTAATATTCGGTGCTTATCACCAACTCTTCTTGGCTTACCTTTTCTACTTTCCTTTTTGCCCCGGCCCTTCTCCTTTATTCCTTACGTTTTTAAGATCGAGTAGGGCCTCCATTCGGATATTGCTGAACTCTAAGAAATTTTGGGTGATTGACTCGAGTCCATCTGTCCTCGGCCGTGTCTGTCCTTGGCCGTACAGTTCACACTTTATGGGAATCGATGCCTTTTGTACCCAAATTTCTGATTGGACTGGTAAGTGTCGTTTAAAGTTGGGATGCTGATATTGGGAATGGAATTGGCTAGATATATATTCTTGTCGATCTTGTTTTTCTGCCTTCACATAACTTTTACTGGACTTACCCCGCCGAGGCTCTTCACCGGGCTTAATTGGGAAGGTAAGCCTTTCAAGAATCCCTTTTCTCTTTGGTTGAACCTCCATTGGTTCTTCTTCTTTAGATTTCTACTTCCCTTACAATTTGGACAACAACCATAGTCTATCCAGGCCAATTGAGCCTCTCTTAGTTGTCTTTGCAATTCCGCTATCTTTTCTGGTGTCACACTTGATGAAAGAAACTCACTTAAGATCTTCTCAGCCTCCTGTCGATTTTCTCGCTTTGTTAAGCTTATCATATTAGTCGATATGATTGTAGGAAATGGATTGGTATCCACCTTCATGGTATTTGTTGTTTTCTTAGAAATTTTAATGTACCTTCATCGATAGCCTTCTGCAACACACCTTGTAGAATAGTACAATCATTAGTAGCATGGTTCCAAAAGTTATGATACTTACAATACTCTTTTCTTTTTATGTCACTTGCCGATGGAATCTTATGCTTCTTAGGCAAAGAGATCAATTTATCAGCCATCAAGTGATTAAAGATTTAATCTATTTTTGATAAGTCGAAAGAATAGATTTTCCCTGTATCAGCAGCTCATTTCCTTGCTGCTGATGTTGATGTTGCATTGCCCCATGTGGTCGACTTAGGTTTGATCAATGCCTCACAGATGTATGGCTTCTTAATATTGACCTCAACAACGTCAACTTCTAATTCATCACCAACTTCTGCCGAGAACACCTCATAATTAGGGTCCTTATAGTAAGTACCCTTGGAGGAATTCTTCCTTTATTTCTCTTCTTTAAGTATCTCCTCATACCGAGTGCCCTGTCTGCTTAATCGAAGAGATCTTGAAATTTAACCCCATCAAACCTTTTGTGAAGTTCAATGTCTAAACCATTTAATGCTAACTTGATATATTCTGGTTCTGGCAAACTTACTCGGCACTTAAGTTTGGCTTTTTTGAACCTAGCCACAAAAGTTTCAACCGATTCGCACGGCAACTGAGATAATCGAGATATATCTGCCAGCATAGCTTCTGACTCTGTTCGGTAAAACTGGGTATGGAAAGCTTCTTTCATTTTATCCCACGTTCAAATAGAGTTGGCCGGTAGATTGGTGTACCATTTAAATGTTGTCCCAGTGAAGGAACTAGAAAATAACCTCATCCTTAGCCAAGGATTAGGACCTGCTTCCCCACATTGCGCTATGAACCTTGCAATATGCTGCACTGTAGAAAAGATTTCCTCACCACTATACATAAAAAAATTGGGATACTGATAATTTCTGGGTAACTCATGGGCATCGACATAATCAAGATAAGGCTTCCTGTATACTGGCCGAGGACATCTGTGTCCCTGTGCTACCTCGGCTTGAATTAGGGCTAAAATTTGAGCTCTGCCGATCCCCGCATTTTGGCCTGGAGGGTCATTCGGGTGAAGTGGATCAAATGGGTTGACCCATTATCGTTGTGGATTTGTATTTACTGGCCCCCAGCAGCCGCCTGTGGTATTAATGGATTAACCATACCTTAGTTCTGATTGCCCACCTCTTGTTGATCTCTTAAAGGAGGAATCGGTTGCATTAGTGGGCGTTGCATATTTTGATTCTGCTGGTGATTTACTGGCTGATATATCGGCACAGTAGTTATTGCTGACGAATCTGATAATATCGGTGGATTACCAATCGGCATGCCAAGAGTTGGGTTTAGCACATTGCCGATTGTGATGCCGAGAGTTGGATTCGGCACATTGCTGATTGGCATGCCGAGAGTTGGATTTGGCAGCATAAATCCTGTCATCGTTGTTCTTGGTTCTTTAGGAATGATCACTTTTAATGAAGAAATATGTTGATCCAATGACTCATGGATATTTGAAGCTTCGGCTTGATTAGATCGGCTTTGAACAGTCGATATTTGATTTGATATTGAGTCCACCTCCAGACCCATCCCATCTATTCGAGCTCCTAAACGGGTTTCTTGGCTTTCCATTCCCTGCCTAATAGCTTCAAGTATTTGCATGATTGGAACATCTGATGGGAAGGACGTTCCTACTATATGGGATTAGGCTTAGCCAGTTGGCTGGACTTCCTCTTCGTCTTCCTCGTTTGTATTCGTATTCTTTGAATTCTTCTTGGGATGCATCTTTGTTATAAATTATTCACCTAGTGGAGTCCCACCGGGCGTGCCAAAAATGTTGACGCTAAAATCGGCTCCTTAGATCCGATTCTAAATTGATGTAATACGAGCGTGCCAAAACCAATTATATGGTTCAGAGTGTAAATTGTCAACTTCAGTCCTTTTAAGAAGGTTGACTTTCAGACGATGCGAGGAAAAAAAGGAGCAGTAAAACTCCTCTTTGAGTTCAGAAATGCCTTAATTAAAAGGACTTTTACAATGAATAATTTATAGTAATAGATTGAAAATATAAATGGGAGAAAATCTGGATATAGAAAGAGATTGAGAGAGAGAGATAGAGGAAGAGAATTAGAACGAGATAGAAAGAATAAGATGGATAAAGATAGAGAAAAAATATTAAGGATGCTATTTAGGGAAATGCTTGAGAAAGCAATAACAATATTAAAATGATTATGAGGGTGCTGGACCACTAGCACAACATGCATCTTTGTTTATTTATAAAATAATTCATAAAACAAACTCCTATACATGAGCATTCTAAATACATCAAACTCTATCAAATAACTAATTACTGTTTTCAAATAAAAACTTAATCATATAGATAAACATAATTAAATAAATAAACTAATCGATATACATTACCACTACCCTTTCTATCTATTTGTTACTTCAACTTATCCAAAACAATTCCATTTGTAACGTTTTTGAACATAATCCATGCAAAACTCAATCCTTCTTTAACTGTAACATCACTATCCCGATCATAGTTTAAGTTTATTATTTGATCCATGTAAAGTAGTAATGACTTTCAGCCCAAACTAATTTCCACATCTCTTCAGCCCAATCTCTTCTTACGACCCAAACCTTTGCCACGTCATTGTACTTCAAGCCTAATCTCTTCTTACGACCCAAACCTCTGCCATGTCACTGTACTTCAAGCCCAATTGTAGTCTAAGCCTAATTACAAAAATGGGTGTCAACAACATCTTGATTGAATTTTAATTAAACAATTACCTATTTAATTTAAATTAGTACATATTTAATGATTTGAAACATCTTGATTGAATTTCAATTAAATAATTTCTTATTTAATTTTAATTGGTAAGTTATTTTATTATTTGGTAAAAATTAAAAAAAATAAATAAATAAAATACACAAAGCTTGATTAGTCTTATCATACCCATGAAATGTCCTTACCATTTTCCACTTATATTAACTACAAAAAAGGGGCGTAAATGCAACTTGAAGAGATTATTTCAAAGCTAACCTAATACCATCAATCTGAATAGGCTTATATTGTGAGATTCAAACATCATTGAATTCCTATTATTATTATTAATTTAGATGAGAGCAGAGTTTGAAAAAAATAAAGCTATTGTGCAATGTTATATTTTTAGCCCTTTCGATCCTAAACCAAAATATAAATAATGTAAGAATTAAATATTAATCTTCAATTATCCCTAATAAGCACAATTCAGCAAGATTTGAACTTTGGCTGAGACCCATATAATACAGGGCGGTGGCCTTTGTATCAGATATTAAATCGATAAGAACATATACTACACTTAATCTTAGCCAAAAGGATGGGAAAAGGTATAATTAAAATTTCTTTAGGTTTATATTTTTATAAAAGGCTTCTATGTGATCCTTTATAACTCAAAACCGATGTGGGACAAGAAAAATGTTTGGTAAATTATTTTATTAAATAATTACCTATTTTATTAATTATTTTAATACGTAACTTTTAACTTAATTAAACAATTACCTATTTATTTTATTATTTGGTAAATTATTTTATTAAAATTCATTTTATTTATAGAAACTCTTGTATTTTAATTCATTTTATATCAATTAATAAATTTTTTTTCATATTTTTTAGTATTTGGTAAATTATTTTATTAAATAATTACCTATTTTATTTTAATACGTAACTTTTAACTTAATTAAATAATTACCTATTTAATTTTAATTGGTAATTTATTTTACCCCTAATAAACACACATTAGCAAGATTTGAACTTTGATTTAGAGGGTGCACCAAAATTTGGCATAGCTCAACACCAAGGAGATGCTAGAATCACTATAGTAGCAAGCTACTCTAGTTGACCCGACCTAAAAAAATTTAGTTCAATATAATGTAGGCCGAGACCCACATAATACAAGGTCGGTGGCCCTTGTATAAGATATTAAACCGATAAGAACATATACTATTAAAAATAATACTATTAATTATTTAATCCTTTATAACTCAAAACCGACGTGGGACAAGAAAGATGTTTAGTAAATTATTTTATTAAACAATTACCTATTTTATTTTAATACGTAACTTTTAACTTAATTTTAATTGGTAAATTATTTTATTATTTGATAAATTATTTTATCAAAATTCCTTTTATTTATAGAAATTATTTTATTTTAATTCATTTTATATCAATTAATATTTTTTTTTTAATATTTTTCATTATTTGATAAATTATTTTATTAAATAATTACCTATCTTATTTAAATAGGTAACTTTTAACTTATTTAAACAATTACTTATTTAATTTTAATTGGTAATTTATTTTATTCCTAATAAGCACATTACAACAAGATTTGAACTTTGATTTGGAGGGTTCACCAAAACTTGGCAGTAGTGCAACACCAATGAAATGTTAGGATCACTAAAGTAGTAAGCTACTTGTGACGACCCTGGTTTTTAGGCCAGCGTGTCCTGTGATGAACCATAAGGATGATCCGATAACGGATCCGAATGCGGAAGCAAAAACAGAAAACAAGACTCTAAGAAGTCAAAGTGACCTTCCATGAGGTCGCGGAACTCAACAAAAACTGATGCGGAAGCAAAGGATTGAAAATATGACAAATAAGCCCCTAGGGGCAAAATAGTCATTTCTAAAAACTATAGATTCGGGTGTCACCGAGCACACCGCTAGAAGGACAACGAAAAACTAATCAAGATGGACTCAAGAATCGCATGATTCGGAGTCCGAACGAAGGAGAAACGGCATGACGAAGAAAAACGAGCACTTAAGGCAAAAAGGGTAAACTGGTAATTATTCAGGAAGAACCGGGTGCAACCGAGCACACCGTTGGAAATACAGTGAAAAATTAGTCAAGTTCAAAAAAAAATTCACTTGAATCGAAGTCCGGACGAACGAGAAAAGCCCAAAAAAAGAATTGACGTCGCGGTGGCCCGATGAGGGGCCATGATAGCCCCATGCGCACGCCCATGCGCACGCCCATGCATGCCGTGCGCGCGCCGGTGTACACATGGCTGGCAGCAGCAGCCCATAAAGCTGCTGTGGGTTTGTTTTTCGGAAAAATCCGGAACAGAAGCTGAATTTGGAGGCCTAGATGAATTTTTTTGCAAAAACACAGAGAAGAAACCCCCCTCAAAATTGAGTTTTCTACGTGACATATGGGAGAATTAAAAAAAAACGCAATATAGAATATCCGAAATGCCCCTCCATGAAATCTGGTCATGGAGGTCCAAAAAGCTGCTATTTTGAAAACTGAGAACTGAACTTCGTAAGCGATTTCCGATATCAAGACGACATTTTCTGGAAAAACACGAAAAAGAAACCCCCCCTAAAATCACGTTTTCTAAGCGACCATGTTGAAAGAAGAAAATAAAACTGAGGTGAAAGGTCCATAATGCCCCTAGATCAGAATATGCAAAAAAAATGCGAAATGAATTCACAAGAGGCTCAAAACACAAACGATGAGGTTTTGCCCGGAAACGACTATGCACGCAAACGTAACTTGCCTATTTAGACGCGCTACAATGGTCCATGGCTTAAAAATATAGCCGATGCAAAATCCGACCCCCCAACGGGCAAAAAGGCAAAAATGGACTTGGAATGGAAAACATGGAATCCAAAAATGCAAAACGGGATCAAATGACCGTTTGGCCCTTGGCCACACTTCATACAAGATTAATAAGACCCTATAAAAGAATGAAAATGGAATTCCCACACCCGATGCAACCGTGGTGAAGGAATGACTTGCGATTTTTCAAGTTTTTCATAACATTTCATGAAGTTAAAAAGTTGCATAAAATACAATATACATGTCATTGGCCTCCGGCCTCATCTCATACATATCAAATACATTGAAATGAGTGTACTTAAGTACACATTACATACATGGAATCAAACATACATATTTTGACATATAAGTCTACAAAATGACATTTCATGCTAACATTTGCATGAAATGGAAACTTGAAAGCTACTCGACATCCAAGGAATGCTAGGCTTCACGAACCAAGTCTTCGCACTTGAAATATGCCCCAGTATCGTAGGGGTGAGTAACATAAAGCTACTCATAGGAGATGAGCATGCATCGACCTAGCATTTTACAAATTTATCACCTTAAGGTGAAACATGTTAAAGGGGCTCATGCCACCTAATGTCTATGTCCAAGTGAGACTCAGGGAGCATCCTAAGCTACCTTAGAGTCTAAGCAACAAGAATCATGATATACATACGTGTATGAAACGAATCATCGTTGGGATAATCTAAAGAACACGATAAGAAGAATGCTTGAGCATATATTAACATGAATTGCATTTTCAATACAATTGAACTAAGTCTAAAGTAATCCATACAACATGACAAAAGCATATTTGAATACAAGTTAACAAGAATCACATTATCCATGCAATTCAACAACAAAAGAGCATGTTATACAATGCAACAAGGTTTAAGTTCTCAAAGCCATCAACTTAGAATCTAAAGCACAAAATAATAGTAGTGATTTATGCCACTTAACGTCTATGTTATAAATGAATCAATAGGATCAATCCTAAGCTTCATTAGAACGTCAAAACACGATTTTCAATATCGATGCAATTTAACCAACATTGGAACTTCCAATACAACGCATAAAGCACAATTTCGCAAAGTTAACATCCTGTAACTTAAAATGGAATGACAAATAAGAAACAACAAGTTACAACATCATCTAGTTATCAACTTGAAAATGAAATGCGAAATCAAACAAAGTGGATACTCGGACGTCACGCCGGATCAGACCGACAACATAGTTACTTTAGGGTTACTAGCCCATGAGTAACCTCCCTATGTGCGCACTAGACTATATATAGAGGGACTATCCCCCGTACTAGAACCACGTCCTAGCCATAGTCAAACAACGACATCCCTAAGTTTCCAAAATCAACAAGTTGTGCAACAACACATATATCAATAGGAATATGCAAGATAATCAACTATCTAGTAAGTACAACCAAATTTGGAAACCTATACAATACATGCTCTAAATTCACAACTAATTGATATGATGAATATCGAATCTTCAGTGTGCGATTCGTTACACGCTATGCATGAAAGATGTTAAACACGAAGTGTGCAAATCATTACACAAGGCAACAATATATTCAATAAGGAAAACATATTCTCATGAATACAAACATAGCAACTATGTTATCCAATGTTCAAAATATAACCAAATGAATATACAACAAGTCCAAGTCCATGATTTGAATATAGAAACCACTTCTAAAACACAACTAGATCATGGAGCAAATTGATAGAATTTAAATAGATAAACACAATTAAATTCTCTAGATTTCCGATTCAATTTCAATTAACCTCAATTTAATACATGTTAAAGGGCATGGCAAGGTCATCACCTATATCCATTCTAAAACTCAATTAGGTTGTTAGAACAACAAAGTAGAACTTTAATTAAATCATGCTAATTTAAATCCCAAGGTTCTAAAACAATTTCAGATAGTCCCAATTTAATATATACTAGTAAACAAGTCATGGCCAATACAAATATCAAGTTAAAACATTAATTAAGCTATTGGGACCACAAAATAGATTTTAATTAATTCTTTTAATTAAAATCTCTAGATTTTCAAACTTAATCAAATGCTCTCAATTTAACATATCTTAGAGAATATGCCAAGAACTAATGTAATATCACATTACAAGTTTATTTCATTCAATTTAAGATCATGTGACTTAACCTTTCACTAAAGTTAAATATAAATTAAAGGTTGCAATTCTCATGCAATCAATCCCAATTTAATATATGTGAACAACCACGCCAAAGCTTAATTTTCTAGCATGCCACAATACAATTCCAAGTTGTATATCACCATGAGGATTAAATCTTAAATATGGAATTTAATTAAATAAAAGGTTTCAAAACCTAACCGAATATTCTAAATCAAATATATGTGAAACTATATGGCATGTAAATCAAGAATATCAAGTCGGAATTTAAATAGAGTGAATAGTGCACTCGGGCAAATTAATTAATCAAATTAATTAATAATTACTAATTTTTAAAACACCTCCAATTACTTTCAAATTCAACTATGTTGGAGAGCATGCAAAGGCCTAATTTAATATGCTAACACATATTGATTTTAAGCTAGTTAAGGCCATGCGAATTAATCTTTCACCTAAGATAAATATTAAATAAAATCTTTAATACTTATTCAAATGTTCCAATTTTAATACACGACAATGAGCATATCAAGGGGCAATATAAAATCATGCTACATGTTTAAACCAAGTCATGACCAACTGGGAAAATTAGATCCCGTACAAGAAAAATAAATAATAAAATCTCTAAATTTTATATTTAATCATGCAAATAAGTAGTATAAGCATCACAAGCATGCTATATAACAAGAATTTAAACCTAAAACATCACCTACCTCAATTTGAGATGAAAATCTCAAATGCCATCAAAATGGAATGGCTCCGAATCCGACGAAACTACTAGGTTTTATCAGGGACAACGCCGTGAACATAACCCCCATGAAAGCCCCATCAAAATCATAACTTGACCTTAAAACCAAACTCAAGAAATGGTCAAAACTGAATTCTAATAAGGGGGAAAGGTAGAGCACGGCGAGGGGAACAATAAACATTAAGGTCGAAGACTTTCAATCAAGGAAAAGTGAACCAAAAGAGGAGAGAGAAGATGGCAGCACCCCTTGGGCTGCCATGGGAGCTCTAGGTCGTGCATGAAGAGGGGAGAAGATGAAAAATGAAATATCTCACCCCTCTTTTATAGAAATCTCAAAAAGTGCCCCGAACGGGCCCCGCCGGGTCCGAAAAAGTAAAATTTGAGCAGATGCACTCAAATGGCAAAACTTTGTGAACAAAAAAGATTCAAAATGATAAAATATGAACAACGGAAGAAATGGCGTTGAAAACCAAGTTCCGAGCAAAAAGTTATGCCCAAAACAAGTTTGGCGCTAACTAGGGCCAAAAACCCTGAAATTGGAAAACATCGTCCAGGAGGAAATTTCAAGAGTACACAACTCGACGAAATGTGAAAATGAATCTTGTACGAGGATCCAGACTCAAAACAAGACATTTTGCAATAACTTTCATTAATTGCACAATGGCCCTTCCAAAAAGTGAAAACTGCACTTATGGCCCAGAATGAAAATATCTTCCAAAAATATTTTCTTAAAAACCCCTGAAATAAAATATCTTCAAAAGATATTTACTAAAAACACCCCAAGAAAAGAAAATAATTTCAAAGAACTTTGCATCCATGCCCCTATGGACACCGGGAGTAACCAGAGTACTTTCTTGCAAAAATAAAGATACGTATTTCGAGGAAACCACTCAAGATGAAGGCACGTGAAGTCAAAAACCAACTCCGAGCATGAGAAGTGAGGTTGTGCCAAAAACTGACAAACAGAGATAAGACGAAATAGGGAAAATGACAGAATAGGGAAAAGACGAATAGCGCATAGTGTCCGGAAAACGAAAAATGCGAAAATGACTCGATCCTCAAAGGAAGTTGTCAATTCACATGAAAGAGTCTCAGAAACCAATTCTGAGCACTCGAGATGACACTAAGCGATACGAAATAGAGCTCAGAAAAGAAAATTAAACGAAAAAAATTCATTCGTAAAATTTCAAGAAAAAGGAAAGGGAGGCAAATGACCGGGTCGTTACACTATTCTAGTTGACCCGACCCAAAAAAAATTAGTTCAATATCATGTTAATATTTCTTTAGGTCTATATTTTTATAAGAGGTTTCCATGTAATTATTTATAACTCAAAACCGAAGTGGAATAAGAAAAATGTCTGGTTAATTATTTTATTAAATAATTACCTCGTTTATTTTAATAGGTAACTTTTAACTTAATTAAACAATTACCTATTTAATTTTAATTGGTAATTTATTTTATTATTTGATAAATTATTTTATTAAAATTCATTTTATTTATAGAAACTCTTTTATTTTAATTCATTTTATATCAATTAATAAATATTTTATATTTTTTATTATTTGATAAATTATTTTATTAAATAATTATCTAAATTTAGTTCTATATCATGCTCCACATAATACAAGGCCGGTGGCCTTTGTATCAGACATTAAACCGATAAGAACAAATAGTACAGTTAATCTTTTTATAGCTCAAAATCAATGTGGGACAAGAAAAATGTTTTTATAAGAGGCTTCCATGTAATCATTTATAACTCAAAATCGACGTGGGACAATAAAAATGTTAACTCAAAACCCATGTGGGACAAGAAAAATGTTTGGTAAATTATTTTATAAAATAATTACCTATTTTATTTTAATAAGTTACTTTTAACTTGATCTCAGCCAAAAGGTTGACAAAGGTATGATTAATATTTCTTTAAGTCTATATTTTTATAAGAATAATCTTTTATAACTCGATGTGGAACAAGAAAAACGTTTGGTAAATTATTTTATAAAATAATTACCCATTCTATTTTAATAACTAACTTTTAACTTGATCTTAACCAAAAGGTCGAGAAATGTACGTAATCCTTTATAACTCAAAGCTGATATAAGACAAGAAAAATGTTTGGTAAATTATTTTATAAAATAATTACCTATTTTATTTTAATATGTAACTTTTAACTTGATCTTAGCCAAAAGGTTGAGAAAGGTATAATTAATATTTTTTAGATCTATATTTTTGTAAGAGATTTCCATATAATTATTTATAACTCAACATCAATGTGGGACAAGAAAAATGTTTGGTAAATTGTTTTATTTAATAATTGTCTATTTTATTTTAATAAGTAAATTTTAACTTAATTAAATAATTACTTATTTGAATTTAAGTGATAGTTTATTTCATTATTTGATAAATTATTTTAAGTGATTGATTTTATATCAATTAATTTTTTATATAATTAATAAATAAATAGTATAGAAAGTGGTGATTGATTTTATATCAATTAATTTTTTTTTATAATTAATAAATAAATACTGAAAGACTCAAACTCTTTGTCTATTTAATAATAGTATAGATATTTTCTTAAAACTCACTAAATAATTATTTTTTTTAACAAACATGTGAAAATTTGTTAAAAAAAAAATAATGGCATTAATGTAAAATGAAGATGGCGGGAAATGTGTCTCCCGCTTCCTTCCTTAATATACCGCCTCCCGATTTCAATCATCCACCTTTATCTTTCCACTCTGACGGAAAAAAAAAGCCCGCAGCATTTCCCATCTCAGAGTTGAGGGTTTCTTGAATCATCAAAGGATTTGAAATTCAAATTCATGATCTGCTCGTTTGTCTTAAATCATTTTTTTTCGAATTAGGTTTAGGGTTAGGGTTAGGGCTTTATCTGATCACAATAATATGGGGAATAAAGTAACCGACGAACTAATAGAGACAGTTCGGTCTATCGTTGGTCAAGAATACTCCGACATGGACATCATCCGAGCACTTCATATGGCGAAGAACGACGCAACTGCGGCAATCAACATCATATTTGACACCCCCCTGAGTTTCAGAACCAAGGATAAATCCCAAGGAGTTCGGGGAAAATCTGAAACTGTTGCTGTGAAGTCAATTCAAAATGGTAACGAGATCCTCAATCGTTCTCAAAGTTCTACTTCCAATGATTCTCTGAACCCTAGAAATTCGATGGAAAGTGACGTCAAAGACTTGAATAGGTGCTCGAGTTCGATGGGGAGTGAGTGGTGGTTTGTGGGTTGCGGTGAGGTTGCAGGCATGTCCACGTGTAAAGGGAGGAGGCTGAAATCTGGTGAAGAAGTGAATTTCACATTTCCACTGAACAACTATAGTAAATCTAGTTCACCCTCACCGGCCAAGTTTGGTGGCCGAGGTCGACAGGTCGCTGCCTGTTCCGAGATTGTAAGGTTCTCGACCAAAGATTGTGGAGAGGTATATTCTGAATTTTTTTCTTACTTAGTTGGCTGATTTTGTTACTCATGATCTCTTTGGAAATAGAAATTTGAGAGAGGAATGCTATCAAAAGGGCCTGTAATATGCATTAGATTTGTTATATATATTTAATGTATGATGATGACGATAGTGTGGACAGATTGGTCGAATTCCCAATGAGTGGGCGCGGTGTCTTTTGCCGCTTGTGAGGGATAATAAGGTCCGGCTTGAGGGTTGTTGTAAATCTACTCCTGATGTACTGGGCATTATGGACACCATTCTTTTGACAATCAGGTATGCTAAAGGTGCATGAAACTTATACATCTTTGTGTGTGGTAAAAAGAAAGAGAATCGAATTTACTTTTGAAGCTGTACTTTTGGGTGGTGCATGGAATGGCTGATTAATTTCTAATTTTGTGTGCTGTTCAGTGTGTACATTAACAGTTCCATGTTCCGAAAAAGCCACCAGACCTCACTAAAGGCAGCCAGCACTTCTGTGGATGAATCAATCATTCACCCTCTGCCAACCTTGTTCCGGCTGCTGGGAATAACACCTTTTAAGAAGGTGATAGTTTGTTTTGTCTTGTAACCTTTACTCGAGAGCTATACCATGTTTTCATCATGTTATGCGTATGGGTGTATATGAATATGATGTTGGCCATGCATGCAAGTTGACATCTTCTTTTAGAAAACAATATATGCTGATATTTTCTTTGTGAAACCTAACAAATATTCATTTATATTTGCTTGGATATAACCAGGCGGAATTCACTCCTGGCGATTTGTACACAAGGAAGAGGCCTTTAAACTCAGAGGTATGGTAAACATATTAATTGGCTGATCCCATTAATTTTATGATCGATTTTAGTACTTAGTTCTAACTGAACAGGACAGCTCCGGTGTTCCTGCCTCATTGCTACATGTCAACAAGTTTAAGAATTCATCTTTGAATGGAAATAAAGTGGAAAATGAAGAGTCCATTTCTGATACTGATCTTGACAATATTGTTGGTGTTGGTGATAACTCTGAGCTAGAGGTATTGTTATTCTGAGAATATCTTCATATGTTAATGGAACTTTATATGCAAAAAGAAGGTACATCTATTTATTTATCTTTTGTGTTTTAGGAAATGGAACCCCCTAGTACTATTCAATGTGAACTTCGCCCCTACCAAAAGCAGGCTCTTCATTGGATGATTCAGTTGGAGAAAGGACGGTGCATGGATGAGGCAGCAACTACCCTTCACCCATGTTGGGATGCATATCGCCTTGCAGATAAGTAAGTTGATATTTATCAATATCTAATAGTTTACTCACTTCTGAACTCCAGGCTCAAGGGGATATTGGTATTTTTCTAGGAGGGATCTTGTTGTCTACTTGAATGCATTTTCTGGTGATGCCACGACAGAATTTCCAAGCACCCTTCAAATGGCCAAAGGAGGAGTATGTTTCTCTCCCTAATTGATGTCTCCATTGCCTCAATTTTGCAGTTAAACTCTTTTGGTGTTTTGACTTGAACATGAATTTGAAGATTTTAGCAGATGCCATGGGACTTGGAAAGACCATTATGACCATAGCTCTCCTTCTTGCTCATTCAGAAAGAGGTGGATCCTTAGGTAGCCAAAACATGAGCCCGACCTTCAGTGTTAATAGTGAAGCAAGCAATGCTTCAGATCAATCTCCGAGCCTCCCGGACAAAGCAGCAAAATTTTCTGGTCTCAATAAGCTTGTGAAGCAAAAGAACTCGCTTATTGGTGGTGGTAATCTGATTATATGTCCTATGACTCTTCTAGGCCAATGGAAGGTAAGTTGTTGCCATTTTAGCGTTGGCAGGTTTCACAGAATTAATGTCTCTCTGGTGGTTATACTCAAGTTGTGTGTTTCTGTATTGATAGGCAGAGATTGAATCTCATGCACGACCTGGGTCTCTGTCTATTTATGTTCATTATGGACAAAACAGACCTAAGGATGCAAAAATTCTAGCTCAGAGTGATGTTGTTCTAACTACCTATGGAGTATTAGCCTCAGAATTTTCGACAGAGGTACCTTAAAAGCCTTTTATTGATTTTACGGCAAAGTTTCCGGTCACTTGGTGGTTCACTCTATTATACAGGATAATCCGATGTAGACCTCTCTTTTAATTCTATTGTTTTATTTTGTAGAACACTGAAGACAATGGGGGACTTTACTCAGTGAGATGGTTTAGGGTGGTTCTTGATGAGGCACATACTATCAAATCTTCTAAAAGCCAAATTTCTGTGACTGCAGCTGCCCTTGTTGCCGATCGCCGATGGTGTCTTACTGGTACCCCTATCCAGGTATATATTTATTATAAAATTATGATTTTGCGACTGAGCTTATCCAGTTAAGCTGTCTTCTTCTATAAATGGTTCTCTGCAATGTTATACGCATGAGTGATTCACTTTTTCATTTGCTTTTTGTTTAAAATGATAAAGTTGATCAACAATTTGGGTAAGTTTATTGTTCTGCAGTTTTATATCTATAAATATACACATATATAAACCTGTTATAATCAGAAAAAGTCTCTTTCCTGACAAGTTTATTGTGTTGTGCACGAAATTTACTCAGGCAGAGTATTCAGGTCTTCTTGTGCTGCCTCCATTATCTGTTGAAGCCAAATTATTTAATCCATATTACTTCCTTCCGTCTGCATTGTTTGACAAAGACATTCTATGACTCATGTATATGTCTTATGAGAATTTGTAATAGAAATATATATCGTTATGGGAATGTGCATTATAAGAAATTGCATTTATATGTCATATATACATCTTATGAGACATTAATTTGTATATAAGGTTAGAGAAAGAGAGCTCAACCAAAACTAATATTGGATGAAGTTATTCGAATAATTTTAAGAAATAAAATATAATAGGAGAATTGGCTTTGATAGAAAAGTATGGAAAAAGAGAATTCATGCGGCTGACCCCATTCATATGGGTACAAGGCAATGTTGATCATTATCATTATAAACTTTATGCAAATTTCCATCTATGTTCTGGATTGTAGATATTTCCTCAAGTTCATTGTGGTTGCCAACTCCTAGTTGCACATATTTCACTTTCTTTTTTTTTGCTTACATCATGAGCTTATCATCTGATTGAACTTTTGAAATTCTCCTTCAGGTCTAGCATCTGTGTCCTCTGCAGATGTTGTATAGATTCACTACAGTGTTGAAGCTGTAGGATTTATATATATAAATATATAGATACAGAATTTTGTTAAATGAAACTTCCTTTCTTATATACTGTGCTGTTTGACAGCTTTGTTGAAGTCAGGCGGAGGCTCATAGACTTCATCTTATCAATCAATTGATTTTCCTCTGCATATAATTTGATGATTTATAATGTCGTTTTTCTGTGTACAAATGTATTTCTTGTTAATTTCAAATTCTGAAATGTGTTATTTTATTTTATTTTATTTTTTCCCTGGAATTTATGAAACTTTCCATGTACTTCATGCTTGTATAAAATGAATAATCTTTGGGCATAATTTTATATTAATTTTTGGAGATCTTCATACCTTTAAGTGTGGTGAGTTGCCAAAGTTGTATAGATTTGTTTCCTGACATTTTGTTTCACTGTCATAGAACAACGTGGAGGATATTTATAGTCTCCTTCGATTTTTGAGGGTTGAACCATGGGGAAACTGGGCATGGTAAGTTTTTCTTCTCCTGTTGATTGAAATTCATGAACTTTGTTTTTATAAGTTACTTAGGGCTATGTGTATGTTATGAATACATTGGATAATGGAAGGCACCCTTAGTGGAAATTGCATCCTTATTGTGGATCTAATAAGTTTTTTATATGCACATATTTGTGGTTTTAATGGATTGCTGTTCAATACTTTGATCAAATTATCTGTTCAATTTAAAGTTTTGTCTTATTTATTTATTTATTTATTTATTTTAATTATTAAATGAAATCGGTGATGTGGGATTGCAATTTTATGATAATCCTATATATATATATATATATATATATACATATTTGTTTTCAGTCTGGCTTTATTGCGTGGGTAGCTTCGAGTTTTCGGTTCTATTCCTGTATTTATTAATTCTTGGGTTTATCTAAAAGCTCTATTTAGCACAGGGCAGCTTATCTCAAAGAGATCTGGTAGGTTATTACGCAGTTGACATCTCTGAGCACATGATTGAGGAGTGATAGCTGGTATTTGAACGTTTCAAAAGGACCTTGATTGTTGGTCTTCATTTTTCTTTTTTTTTTATGTCAATCTGATTGGGAATATTAAAGTGACAAACTATATAACTGCAATCAAAGCAATGCTTTTCTAGAATCACTTGTCCGTAAAATAAAAATAAAGATAAAAAATGTGATGCACATTCTGGAAATTTAGTTCTTAGAGATGTATAGAGAATCTCATTTAATGTGGACCAGATTCCCTTTTTTGTGTGTTTCTAAGTATTTGGTAATGTGTAGTCGTATGGTTAAGCTACTTATGTGTATAACATAGGTGGAATAAACTCATTCAAAAACCTTTTGAGGAGGGTGATGAGAGAGGGTTAAAGCTGGTTCAGTCCATCTTAAGGCCGATTATGTTAAGAAGAACCAAGTTTAGCACTGACCGAGAAGGAAGGTAAACTTAACCAGCAGAGAATATATCTTATCATATTCTTTCCTTTTTCTGGTCTCTAGCTTTCTAAATTTATGTTTCTTCTGGTTTTAGGCCAATTTTAGTTCTCCCACCAGCGGATATCCAGGTGATTTATTGTGAACTCACAGAAGCTGAAAAAGATTTTTATGAGGCTTTGTTTAAAAGATCCAAGGTATTCCATAAGTAATGTTCTTTTTCTTGCTTTTATGTTGAAGTGCCTTTATATAACATGTTGACTTGAATCTCTTCAGGTGAAATTTGATCAATTCGTCGAGCAAGGACGGGTTCTTCATAACTATGCTTCTATATTGGAGCTGCTCTTACGTCTTCGCCAGTGTTGTGATCATCCATTTCTTGTGATGAGGTTTGAATCTTTCTTGTACAATGCTTTATTTTAATTTATTTCTTCTCATGGAATTTAGTTGTGGCATATATTTTGTCTATGATATGGGTGGTGGTGGTGTAATGATGATAATCTGGTTTACAGAGGTGGTAGGGGTTCCCTTTTTGAGTTATTTGTTGCAGTCCTTAATGTTTCTATGGTTGTTTATCATCAACAAAGCTTTCCTAACAACCCCCTACCCTTTGGGTAAAATGGAGAGATAAAAGTGTGTTAGCGAATAAATAGAAAATATATATGCCCAAGAAGAAGAGGTAAATATCTAAACATCCTGCACAAAATGTGAGGGTATTTTAGTAACAACATTAAACTATGATTTTCACGATTGGCACTATAAAGGAAATGTGATGTACAAGAATATCCTAAAATGTCATGTGGTTCACAAATCTCTGCAGCTGATCCTTCCATATGGTCCACAAAATAACTTGACAATCTTTTATTTGTGTCTGTAGTAAAAGTTTTCATTAGATCAGATTTTCTCAATCATCCATTTCATATGTTATTTATTTGTGCATTTTTCAATGATCTGGGAGGATGCTATTTCATTTGCTTGTACTTCGGATGATTAAAATGCACACCGATTGATGGATGCTGTTCATTTTATGATGCATACTTTGGAAACCTTAGGTCACGTCATGTAGTTTCCTTCAAATCCTCATTTTAATATTGTTATGTTAACTATGGCTGGTAATGGTCGCTTTGATGTGTTCAGTCGAGGTGATGCTCATGAATTCTCTGATCTGAATAAGCTTGCCAAACGTTTCCTTAAGGGTGGTCGGGATGTTGTGGAAGGGGAGGCAAAAGATGTGCCTTCACGGGCTTATATTCAGGAGGTTGTTGAAGAGTTGCGCAAGGGGGAGCAGGGAGAGTGTCCAATATGCCTCGAAGCTTTTGAAGATGCAGTTTTGACACCTTGTGCTCATCGCTTATGCCGAGAATGTCTCTTGGCAAGTTGGCGGAATCCTACTTCTGGTCTTTGTCCTGTTTGTAGGTATCTTCATATTTGTTATTGTTTTTCCATTCAATATTTCTTTCTACTGTTTCACCCAGTGAGCTGCTCCCTCTTTTTGAATATTTACAATAATGTAATATTACTGGTCGTACTATCATGAGATATAGCATTTTCTTTTTGGCAGGAAGACAATCGACAGGCAAAATCTTATTACGGCACCAACTGATAGTCGCTTCCGGATTGATGTTGAGAGAAACTGGGTTGAATCATCTAAAGTTGCCTCTCTGTTGCATGAACTAGAGAATCTTCGTTCATCAGGCTCTAAAAGCATTGTTTTTAGCCAATGGACTGCCTTTCTAGATCTTTTGCAGATTCCACTTTCTCGGTAACAATTTCTTGCTTCTTAGATACTCGTCTTTGGTTTATGCGGATGCATTATGCTCCCTCTTTGATTAGCACCTATTGATTAGCTTCGAATTATTAGATTATGGACGTGGGATGCCATGTGAGACGTGTTTGGAGGATATGCAGGGATTTGCCATAACGAAATCATTAATGATTATTTCACAGAAATGACAAAATTGAATGGGTCTGTTTGGTTCAATTTTCTAAAAACAGTTCACAAGAACTCAGAAAACAGTTTTCAGAACCTGTTGACTAAACTGATTTTCAAATCTCAAAATAACAGTTCATGAAAAACTGAACCAAACATGGCCAATGATTCTGATACCTAATCAGATATGTACCTGTCTATTTATATGCACTTGCACCGTGGAGGGAGGGTTTGATTGGCTATAAATAAGATGGTAAAGTGTGTGTGTATATGTTTATATGTAAATGAATTCAATTTTGGATTTTTCTTACAGTTTTCCTTTGGCTATTGTTTTAGTTATGTGTATTGCTAAGATGTTATAAGGTGATGATATTGTCGGTTATCATTGCATATGATACTATTCTTGAGGTCTCTATCTTCGAAAAATGCAAAGTGTGTTGATATGTTGGCATACTTACTTTGTACAGGAGTAGCATTCCGTTTCTTCGTCTGGATGGGACTCTAAACCAACAGCAACGTGAAAAAGTAATAAAGCAGTTCTCAGAAGAAAGCAACATCCTGGTTTGTAACGGAACTTAGGGGTTGGTAAGTGGTGATAATAATATAAATGACGACATTGGTTTAATTATTTGATCTTGGTTGTTATACAGGTGCTGTTAATGTCATTGAAGGCTGGTGGGGTTGGAATAAACCTAACAGCAGCATCCAATGCATTTGTCTTGGTATGTATAAAATATTTCAACCTTCTTAAATGAATTGTTCCTGGCTTTGGTTGTGATAGTGGAAATAATTGACTTTTGTTTTGGTTAATCTTCATTTTAGTTACCTTCACTTTTATTAGAATCTGATAGTAGTGTGTGTCAAGCATTTGAGTTGGTAATATTTGACTTATTTGAAGTTACTACTTTAGTTTTTTCTTTCCTTTTAACATATGTTAAAGAGTTATGGGAAGGAATAGAAGGGCCATTTTGGTAACATTCCTTGTATGAGAATTGATATGGTGATCCCAGAAAGAAAGATAAGTTACAAGGTACCGTGTGTTCAAGATTTGAAGCCCTTTCAAATATTGCTTATTATAGTGGACAATTAGTTAATATTATTCATAAATTAATAACATTAGTAATTGATGTATATATAAATAAGTTTTTTGAGAAGTTAATTTTGAACTGTTGAAAGAGAGAGAGAGAGACATAATATATGAAAACGTATATGTTATTGAGTTAGTAATACAATAATACAATGGTGTTTATATAGGAGAGTTACGGGAATAGGTGAGTGGAGAACAAGTAAACCCTATACATGGCAATTCTATATGGTAATGAGGGGTAGGTGACAACTCATACAATAGTAACTATACACGTGTGACAACTCATACAATACTGTACAACACTCCCCCTCAAGCTAGAGAGTAAATGTCAATAACTCCCAGCTTGCTACATATGGAATCAATAGAGTTCTTGGGAAGTGCCTTAGTGAAGATGTTTGCCAACTGTCTACCATAAGGAACAAAAGGTGTAACAATCTCATTCAAGTCAACTTTAGATCGAATGAAATGGCAATCCACTTCAATGTGTTTAGTCTTCTCATGGTAAATTGGATTGCTAGCAATATGAATAGTTGTTGCCTGATTGTCACAATGGAGAGGAATTGGGTACTGGATTGAAATCCCAAGTTCTTGTAAAAGAGTTTTCAACCAACTAAGCTCACAGGCAGTGTGTGCCATGGCACGATACTCTGATTCAGCACTGGAACGAGCCATAATTGACTGTTTCTTACTCCTTCAAGTTACTAGATTTCCTCTTATGAATGTGCAGTAACCCGCGGTGGACCGTCGATCAGAAGGAGAACCGGCCCAATCTGCATCTGTGTATCCCTCAATCCGAAGATGTCCAGAAGATCGATAAAGCAGACCACGTCCTGGAGCACCCTTTGCAAGATGCGTACAACTGCCTCCATGTGAGGTACTCAAGGATTGGTTATGAACTGGCTGCATAGGAGATGTCTGGATGAGTGATTGTGAAGTAAATAAGTTTACCTACAAGTCTCTGATACATCTCTGGATCATCGAGTGGGTCACCATCATCTACCTTAAGTTTTACATTAGTCTCCATGGGTGTAGCTACACGTTTCGAGCCAAGATATCCAGTATCCTGTAAGAGATCAAGAGTATACTTCCGTTGAGAAAGACTAATGCCTTGCTTTGACCGAGCCACCTCCATTCCGAGATAATATCGAAGTTTGCCCAATTCTTAGTAAGGAAGCTAGAACTCAAGTGATGGATTACAACTTGTATCCCATCTTTGTCACTGCCGGTGATAACGATATCATCTACATACACCACAAGAGTCACAATACCACGTTTCGCTTTCTTAAAAAAGAGAGTGGTCAGCTTGGCTTCTGGTCATACCATGAGCTACCATTGCTTCACTGAACTTATCAAACCATGCACGAGGGGACTGTTTGAGGCCATAGATAGATTTCTTGAGATGACACACGCTCCCCCTTATACTCAAAACAACCCAGGTGGTTGAGTCAACTCAGTAAGGTAACTGTGCAAAAAGGCATTTTTAACATCAAGTTGATGAAGTGGCCAGTTTAGATTAGCTGCAAGAGAGATTGTCACATAAACATAATTCACTTTGGCCACAAGAGAAACATCAAGTCGAGCTTTGAGACGGTCAACAGTACCATCAGGCTTCTGTTTAACGGTAAAAACCCAACAACGACCAACAACCAGAGTATCAGCAGGCTTAGGAATAAGGTCTGAAGTATGATTCAATTTTAAAGCGTTTATTTCTTTTTCCATAGCTTTCCTCCACCCTGGATGAGAAAGTGCCTCCCTGTAGGACTTAGGAATTTGCAATAGAGGATAATGTCAAAGAAAAAGCTTGAAAAGAGGAGGACAATTTATTATACGATACAAAATTAGAGATAGGGTGATTGGTACAAGATCATTTACCTTTTCGAACAACGATAGGTTGATAAATATCAGACTCTAGAGAGATGGAAGAATCTCCCGGCGTTGAAGCGACTAGTGGAAGTGGCAAGGCTGGGTTTACTACAGTTGGTGGAACATGATTAACTACTCTTTTCCGGCAACGAGTATAGACACGAAGAGCTGGTGGGATGTTAGGATCAAAAATTGGAGTTGGAATAATAGACTCTTGAAGAACAGAGTCCTCTAGACGACTGCCTTCCTAGGAATAATAAGGAGCATCCTCAAATAAAGTTACATTTGCACACACAAATTGTTTACGAAGTGTTGGACTATAACATTTATATCCCTTTTGAGTGCGAGAATAAGAAAATACATTTGTGAGCACGAGGATCAAGTTTGTCTCGTCCTGGGCTTAGATTATGAACAAAACAGATACACCCAAACACCTTTGGAGGAATGGAAAAAGGGTTTTTATCAGAAAACATCATTTGGAAGGGTGATTTTCCTTGAAGGACCCTAGAAGGCATGCAGTTTAAAAGATAAGCAACAAACAGAACCATCAGCCCAAAAATGTTTTGGAACTTGCATTTATATTATTAAGGCATGAGCGATAGCTAGTAGTGGGCCATTTTTCCGTTCAGCAACTCCATTTTGTTGAGGGGTATCAATATAAGATGTTTGATGGATAATTCCCCTCGACTCAAGAAACTTTTGAAAAACATTAAGTTTATATTCAAGGGCATTGTCAGTTCTAAGAACAAGTAATTTAATTATTATTATTTTTTTCATAGTTGGTACTCACGCGCACATGCATCCACCGAGGTTCGAACAAGTAATTTTACATCAAACTAATTTTGAATTTCAGCATTAAATGATTGAAAAACAGAGAATACTTAGAGATTTATCTTTAAGAATATAAACCCAAGTTAAACGTGAATAATCATCAATAAATGACACAAAATAATGAGTACCAAATAAACTAGTAGTACGAGTTGGTCCCCAAACATCCGAATGTATTAACTCAAAAGGTTTAAAATTTTTATTATCAAAACGAGACTTAAAAGTAGCCCGACAATGTTTACTAAGTTCGCAAGTAGTACAATTAAACTTAGAAAAATCAACTAAAGAAGGGACCAAGGCTCGAAGACTATTTGAAGAGGGATGTCCAAGGCAGCAATGCCATTGGTAAGCTGAAGAGGAGGTGGAATGTAGAGCTGTCGGAGCTGTAGTTGGCTGGAAGTAGTAAAGACCATCTTTCTCAAACCCCCCACCAATTGTCTTCTTCGTCTTGAGATCCTGAAAGACACAACGGGAAGGAGAAAAAGTAACTAAGCAATTTAAATTTGATATGATTTTGCGAATTGACAATAAATTGAATGAAAATTGAGGGATATATAAAACTAATGAAAAAGTGAGAGAAAACATGAGAAATATCAGAAAAAGAGATGGGTTACCTGTCATGTGATCGGATGCCCTTGAATTAATGATCCAAGGTGTGGAAGATGAAGCATGGAGACACGTATTACCTGAAGTAACGATAGTAGCGGTGGAGGAGGGCTGATTTGCACGCTCACGCTTTACCAGATAATCATATTTGGCTTCGGAGAGAACGATTTGTTCATTTGCAGGAGTGCGAGTAGCCTCTTTTTTTTTTTGATAAATAAAATGTATTAGAAAGCGTTCAAAAGGGGAACACATCCCAAGAGATATACAATAAACCAAACAAAAAGCCCTACGAACCCAAAGAACCCAAAAAGTCTATAATCTCATCTAAAGATATACAATTTCTCCCCATCACCCAACTAAAAAGAGAACTAATAATAGCAAATTTCAGCGCCCCGATGGAGGTTTCCTCCCCATCAAAAGATCTTTTATTTCGCTTTTTCTAGATGCTCCACCAAACACAAAGGGGGGTCACCCTCCAACAGACACGAGCATGGCCCCCCACCCTTTAGCCCCTCCAAATGTCAATCAAATCCCTTGAAGATCGAGGCATTACCCAATTGTTTCGGCTTGCTGTCGCGACCCCCTCTGCCGCCACGAGTACCACGACCTGGGTTGGAAGGACCTCTGCCCCCTCGTCCTCCACGGAAAGTATTATGTCGCTCAGTAGGAACAATAAGAGCAGAGTGGTTGTCCTTCTCAATCATAGGGGCATGAATAGATGCTCTTCGAACTAGAGTAAAAGTCTCACTTGCTGTGTGTATCTCCTTGCTAGACAAAATCTGCGAATTGATCAGAGTGAGTTTGGGTTTAAGTCCAGATAAAAATTTTGCCACCCGAAACTCCTCCCTGTACCCTTTTTGTTGTTTTATGTTTGTAGTCATTGGTTAGTAGACATTCAATTCTTCCCACATGCCCTTCAGTTCTGAGTAATAATCTTCAACAAAACAATCTCTATGCTGGAGATTAAAAATATCATGGTACAACTGATAAATACGAGAAATATTCTTCTCTGAAGAATACATGTCCCTGAGATTTTCCAGATATCTTTGGCAGATTCTAGGAATGACATGTAGAAGATCTAGGCTCCAAGCTGTTCCATAACCAAGTCATAATCTAAGCATCTTCTTTCTCCCAAGCCTCAATAATCTTTTCATCACTGTTGGGTTTGGTTGATTTAAGATAGAATAGTTTTCCTCGAGCCAGTAAGAACACCTCTACGGCTTGAGACCATTGAAGGTAGTTCGAGCCTTCCAGTTTGGTGCTGGTTAACCCAAGAAGATGGGATTCTTTAGTATCCATCACAAGAGCTGCCGAACAAATGAGATATAGTAGCGAGAG